TTTATCCTGGAAGCATGTATCACTAACCTACAGCAAGCTGCATGCAAACACTATTGTGTTACACCTGAAGTAGATTTATCTGATGTTTCCTAAAAGGCATAGGCAGAGAGAACAGTCCTTTTATACAAACATTTCTTATATTAATAGATATTGAAGTCAGTGTGCATCATGTGACCTTTCCATTTGTCTGCACTTAAATGTTAGAGGTTTGAAATTTGCAGTGAAGCGGTGTGGCTTTCGTTTCTCTTGTCTGTGGTAAAAGCAGGACATATTTGTTCTTTTGCATGATTAACTACTGGACTTTCTTCACAATCAACGTGCGCATGCTTCTTCTTTGAATCTATCGGTTTTTGAAGCATTTGCACCTAAAGCACAGTTACATTTTTGCAATAAACATAATGATGTGAAGGAGAAGGGTAGTAAAGGTAGATGCTACTTTTTTTTTTTTTTTTTTTTTTTTTTCTTTAGTAATGTGCAAGAATTAATTTGGCCCAGTGTTTCCATAGCACAGTTCTACATTGTGCAAGCGATATTCGTAGCTCTGTATAGCCACTAGATGGAGCTGAGGAGCATAGGAATATCCTATGTGCCTTGGCTACGTATAGTGGCCATACAACACTACGCATGTTGGCACACAGAAGAGCTGTGTGAACGGCTTATAAATCGGCTACTAAGAGTTTAGATTGTGGAAGAAATGTCTGATTTCCCAGGAGGCAGCGGTGATGCGCAGGGACTTCACCCACACCTACCAGAAGCATTGGAAGTCAGTGCTAAAGTTTGTTTTTTGGGGGGGTTTTTTTAAAAGAAGAATTCTAGTGGTGAGGGGGGACTGCATGTAAAGCAAACCTCTTTCATTTTTCATGCAAGGTTTGCTTTAATATATAGCAGGTTGAGCTCATCAGTCTTTCAAAATCTATGAAAATCTCTATACTTAACCTTTTCTACACTCTTCCTTTACTTCATATTGTGTACTGGCAAATCACTGGTATATCTAAATGTTTGATTTTTCTATTTTAGTAAATTGGTACGTATCTGCGGACACTGCTTCAAATGATTATGCTGTGGAGGCCGCTGTAGCAGTAGACTAGTTTTCCTGCTGCTCAAACTGTGGTGCTAATAATTTTTTATTTTTTTTTTTTACATCTCTTCCTCTAGATTCCGCAGAGTTAACTCTTCCGGATGAGCTATCTGAAATAGCCGAGGTGGACGAAGGCTTCTGTTCCAGGGCAGCCTCAAGCTCAAGCCAGTCGGCCATGTCTCACAGCAGCAGCAGTAGCTTCAGTAGGCCGCCTTTGGGTAAAGCCCAGAGGAGATCTCTTGGATCCAGGGCCGGGGGTAAAGAAAGGGAATCTACAGGTGATCCTTGCCGTGAGCATCTTTGTAGGAAGCAGAACCAGAGAGCTATGAGTGAGAATCTAGAGCTAGTATCTCTGAAGAGGCTCACTCTGACAACTAGCCACTCGCTACCCAAACCTGGCAGCTATAGTCTTGCACGGACTGCAACAACTGTATTCAGTAAATCCTTCGAACAGATGAGTGGAGCAGCTCCTGTACACAATGTCACAGGTGTCAACACTGCTGGCACAGGCACTAATGTGGAAACAAATCGGTTTAGTGCATGCAGCCTACAAGAAGAGAAACTGGCATACATATCTGAAAGGACTGAGCTTGTCATGCCTGGCAAAAGCCACCAGAGATCCCCTAGTATCTGCATAACTCTGTCTACTGACTAGACCTGGAGAGGAAAAGCCATAAACAAGAAAACAAAACAAACCGTTCCCTATTACCCTAAATTGGAATCGGAACTCAATGGAGCAGCTTATATAAGGGACTGACTTGTAGTTTACCAAAGTTTTTACATGTTACCTTATTTGAAACGTTTAGCAATTTATATAAATTGGATAAGTGACAAGCCATAACTTAACATTTTTGGATATGTCAGGTGTGTATACATCACACCCACCAAAGTTGTTACTTAGATGTATGTATGCTTTTATTTACACTTCTAGTAGTAAGTATTGTTTCCTATTTAAGAAAGTTTTCATAATCCTACATTAGTGGACACAGGATGAGGATTTGGGTTCATTGGGTTATGCTGCTGCCTTCAGGAGACTGGACACTTGCAAAGCTGTAAGAACAGCCCAGAACCCCTCGCACTCCAGCATGCCTCAGGTTTATGCTAGTGTCCTGGAAGATTGAGAGACGCAAACCACTTTTTTTTTTTCTTATATATTTTTTCTTATCTTTTTTTCTTATATATTTTTTCTTATCTTCTAATAATAGATTTTTTTTTTTCTACTAGCAAGATTATTCAGTTACTGCAGAAGCACAATTTGCAGCCTCCAGGTTGGCCAGTACCTGGCGTAGTCTTGGAGGCTGTACCTGAACACCGCAGTGAGGAAGACGTGGGACTGGCCTGTATTGTCTGTGAGCACTGGACTCTGCAATATGCTCTCGTCTATGTACCTGTGGTGCAATGTGTTTAGTCAACCGCAAAGTGCTTTACTGGTCCAGGGCCGTGTTGCACTTGGTAGTGGAAGCAAGGTTTTACCAGGTGGATGTTCATGACGCTGATGCCGGCTTCGGTCCTAAGGTTTTTCAGGTGTGTCTGTTGAGTCATCTCTGTTAAACTTTTGTTTTTTTTAGGACAGTTAGCCTTTGTTGCTCCGTTGCCTTCTCCTCAGTTGGACTGCTTTTGGACATCCCCCTTGTACCCAAATACTCATCCTGTGTCCCATAATGTATGAGTAAGAAAATAGGATTTTTTAAATGTCCTAAACTCTTTTTCCTGGAGACATTATGGGAAACGGGTCCCTCCTCTCAGATTTCTTGATGATTCATGCCTACTATTGCTTGCTAACAAAGCTGAAGCATGCTGGCAGTGTGTGTCGGTGTGGGGTCCTTAGTTTTGTTTTGCCAGTGTCCAATCTTCTGATTGCAGCATAACCAATGTTCCTGAATACTCATGTCTTGAAAAGCATTTTACAGCAAGTCAGAAATCCCATGTTTGTCATCCTTAAAGCTCTGGATAAAAATGAATGCATCTGGTTAGGGACAAGGGATATCAGCAAGATACATGTGATATCACTGGTTTGCTTTCTTAAATCGCTACACAAGTGGGTGATGGGCATTCCAATCTGTGTTGAATGCACTTGTCCCGGAATAGCCTGCACAATAGAGGTCTCACCAGCAGATGGCAGTGTCATGCACCATGCACAAGTGTCATCTCATTTTTGTCTGGAAAAGTAATCTGTTTGTGGGACAGCTTTGTGAATTTACTGTAATTTCCACCTAAAAATGTTGATTTGAAAATGTTGGTTGTTTTTATTTTCCAACATTAAGAAAACTATTTTAATGCGTTTAAGGTAATGGTATGGTTAAACTGTTTTGCCTTCATGTGAACTACCTAAAATCTACATTGTAGCTGTTTTACCAAGCCTATGTGATGCGTTACAGGCAAATTTAAGGTAAAAGATCATTTAGATATTCTCAGACATTAAACCGCGACAGGCAAGTGATGTGATGGAGCGCTGGACCTGGGTATAGGTGGATATCCCACTCTGGTGTGACAGCAAATTTTAAGGCAGCTCTGAGTTCACAAAGGGCCCGGACTCTGCCCTCTGAGTAAAGTCTCAAGCTTTATAGAAAAAAATGAAGCACCAAGATATTGTCAGTCCAGATTATGTTTATTGGTCGCATTAATTGTTTAAAAGCATTCAGCAGGTTTTAAGGGCCCCAATTCAACAGTGCTTGACAAGGCTGGATTGGAAAGGAAGGTCTGGGTTAAAAATTATAACACCAGGATTCCCAAACATTTTCAAACAGTTTAAGGTGTGCTCTGCTCATTGGTAAAGAAATATCTTTTGTTTGGAAATCTACTAGTATATGGGCAGCTTTAGCATCTATGTTCCCATATGCTTTCACTTATACATGCATACAATTATTGGCCAAGAATACAAGTTTATGTGCATTGAATAGGAAGTAGGGTAGAATTTTGGATAAAACTAGTCATAGGGACTATGGTAAACAATGGGTCACATTGCATAAAGGGTAATTCCACTTTCCCAGGTGAATTTGGGAAAATGGAATT